ATGCGCCCAATTTTTATGGTTTTCCTCATACGTCGGAATAACAGGAAATGAAGATGCTGACAGGACTGCACGAGAGGCAATTTTAAGTGATTTGTCGGAGCCGATAGACAAGTGTGTTTCCAGTCTTAGTAGTCAGCTTATATTATATAGCTTATTTTAAAAATAAAGTGTGGTGTTCGTGGCGAAATGGTCTCAAACTAAATTCACAGTAGAAGAATTATTTCGCGCAGCAGCCGACAGAGAAAGGTTTCAGGAAATTGTAAGCATGATGACGGCCAACGTCTGAATACGGACACGGCACCCAAAGAAGAAGAAACTAATTCCAATCTAAATAAAATCAAAAATAATGTGTCTCAGTAGTTTCCATTATCGCGCAATAGACGAGAACAAATTGCGTTTGCGCTTTTACGTCTAGGACATACAAGATTAACGCACTCCTACCTTTTGACAAAGAAAAATTCACCTATAATATGTGATCACTGTGATCAGTGTAACGTCTGATTAACAGTCGAACACTTTTTAACAATTTGTAGTAAATATGACCAAGAAAGACAGCGCTACAAGATCCCAAACGCTCTACCACAGGCTCTAGGTCAAAACTGTTCCTGTGACAATAGTGTGAATTATCTCAGATCCATATACATTTTGTACAATCTGTAGGTGTTTAACTTTGTTATTTATATTTTGTTCCGTCGCTAATAACCTTTTGGTGGATGCGACATATTTTTCTAATAAAACAAAAGAATTACTTGTGTACACTATTTCTGCCTTGGATAGTTGTTATAAATATTTTCACTTCAGCATCAGTATCAGTACATTATGCAAACACTGACTGCAATGTACACTAAAGATTTGACAGATATAAGTATAAATTATTGCTTTATCAAATATAAGAAAATAATGTTAAGGCGGCGTCAGACGACAATAGTAGCTTTCATAAAAGTAACTATTATAACTGTGCCTCACATGTGCTATTACGTCTGACTGTGAAACTTCGTAACAGTTGAACTGGTATAACAGGAACTCATATGCGGTCGTATGAGTAGGAATCGCTCTACTTTTCATTTGAGCGCGTAACAATTTGACGCGTACTTCGCATAAAGTCGTGTTTAATAACGAGACGATGTTGAATTTTATTGAATTATATCAAAAACGTGAATGTTTGTGGAACATAAGACTGGAAGATTAAAAAAACACGACAAAAGAAAAAATGCTATCGCCGAAATAGCTGTAGAAATGGGTGTTTTAGAAGATTTTGTAAAAAAGATAGATAGATAGATACAAAGTTTGCGGTCCACATATATACAGGAAAAAAAGAAGATTAACGAAAGTAAATGTACCGGCACTGGTAGTTATGAGGTGTATAATCCTTCACTTTTTTGATATCAAAAACTAGATTTTCTCCAGAAAGTTATAGTGCCACGAAAGACGACTTCAAATTTAAATAATAATACACAAGTAAGTAATAATTTGGTTTATTTTTATTTATTTCGTTACACCTTTTATTAGTAGATATTATTGTGCATGTCTGTTGTTTAAATATGTTATGATTTAGTTTTCAAAACAACATACATCTTATTAATAGTATATTAAATTAGGGCTTATATTTGTTGCCACTGAAAAGAAATTTCGCCCTTGTTACCACAATATTTAGCCAGTTGATGAAAAGTTGCTACCCGTGGGCTGTAAACGTATAAAGTTGTCAACATGATTTATGTCAACGCTGCAATAGCTCGACTGTTTAATACCTACGTAAATAATTGTGTAAAACACAACATGTTTTAACTATAATTTCAGTATTCGCCAGAGATACGTCTATAGTTCTGCTCACGATACGAAATCTACTACCCAATATGCCGAAGGCATTTTCTGCAACTCTTCTAGCTCTGCAGATTCTGTAATTAAACACTCTTTCCTGTACTGATAATTTTTTGGCTCTTGGATAGGGCTTCATAATATTATTACTCAATGAAAACGCATCATTAAAAAGTATGCTATATTTTTATCAATTGCGGGTAATGTGGAATCTTTAATTTGTTTCCAGTATTTAAAGCATCATATAAAGTACTATTTTTATATACGCCACCATCAGATATACGTCCATTGCATGCTACATCTATATAAACGAATTTATAATGATTATCTACCACAGCTAAGAGTACAATGCTATGAAACCCTTTGAAGTTAGTTGAAGCTTAGTTGAAATACATAGATACTTCATTGGGTGGGGCAGTAATGGCTATATGTTTTCCGTCAATAGCCCCCAGGACGTGTGGAAAATTCCATAATTCTTTAAAAATTTTTGCAATCTCTAACCACTCATCTTGTGTAGATGGCTCCTACAGCAACAAAAAACACACTTAATAAAAGTGTCAATTTTCTCTTTTGTTTTCTAGGCAACACTTGTCAACGAAATAGAAAACAACCCTCTAATAGAAAACCAGCGTACAAGTACCTTAAAAGCTTGTGTTACACCTACGATACATCCTGAGGACCCCCCGAATAAAGAAAAAAAGCAAAAGGACCATCGAAGCAGAACCATTGGAAGATGTAGCACTAAGAACGGCTATAACACATTTTGCATAAATTGGACAACAAAATGATGGGTTTAAAGCTTTTAGAAGTTCTGTTGCTGCTTAGTTACGTGTTTTACCACTAATTAATGCCCTTGAACTTCAAATGGAGTTACAATAATTAATCACCCAAAAACATATAAAACTTCTATGAAAAACTCCATCTGCACCGTCTCCCTACGCAAGTAATCAGTCGCCATTGTCGAGTAAAAATGAGCAATTATCGTCAGTGAACTATCTCTACTCAACTAATGAATATTTGCTAAGTCAGTCCCCTTTTCCTAATACTGAGGGCATGTCACAATTATTACAAAATGACCAGCACCAGGATATATTAAGTGAGTCACTAAGAGAAGCAGATATTACTGATGCGTACACGTTCATACCCTTATGAATACATAAAAGATGTATAAACTATATCACTAAAAAATATTTTTGTAGCTTGTATTAATTCGTCTTTATTTTTCACTAACCTTCATATATTTCGGTTGCAAAGTGGTATAAATTGCACTACAAACTTGGAGAATTGTAGTTGATATTGTACTTCTTCCAACTCTAGATAGATACTCCAGGGATTGGTGGCTATCTCCAGTAGCCAAATAGCGCAAAGTTATTGCTAGTTTAACCTTGGAGCTGATAGCACTTCTCAATAACAGTGTCCTGACAGGTAATCCTTTTTCTAATCTATAAACTCCACATATAGCTCCAGAAATTGGTCATGTGATACTCGCAAAAAATTGTGGTACTTATTATTATCTGCATTTAAAAGGTCATTTAATAATTTATTTTCAATGCAATAACTGTGCCTATCTAACAAAAATCGGCTAACCCAAACACGACGAGATTTTTTGTTTGTCACTGCTTTCGAAGTTGTTATCCTTTTTTTCTCTTTATTGCAGAATAAATTGTAAATAATAGTGACACTGCAGCACGTATTCTTTTGTTATTCGCCATTTTTAAAATAACATAATATACAAGGTGTTGGATACACTATTTACCAATACTTCTTAATAGCTACTTCTATAGCCACTTTTATGCTACTATTATCGTTTGACGCTGCCTTTAGAGCTACGCTCAATATATTTGATTTTTCTTTAAGCAAAAAATTATTGGCAACTACAATAATTTACATAATCCCATTACCAAAGAGAGTTTTCAAAAACTTTTTGTTTTCGTTTTCGAGATTTTATTGTCATGTGGAGTAATCCCTTTGCATAAACAACCGAGGGCCGTTTATGTAATGATTTAAATCCGAAATTCGCTGTTATGCCCGCACTCCATACATTCCGAGCACAGAAAGAGAGAACTCTAACACAATTAAGAAGGGTTGAAAACGATGGTTTTTGGCAATCCGGGAATGTTGCTCCAAGGAACAGATTACAGTACGCCGACAAAAAATATTCCGGGAAAACAAAGTAAAAGCCTTTTCTTTGTTTAACGGTATAATCTTCTTCTTTGAACTTTGAGTTGCTTGTTTACTGATCAAAGACAATTTTTATTGTGAAAAACAAAGTAAAGTGCCTGTTGTATTAGGAAACCGGTGAATTTTTAAATAGAAACTTAAGTAAAAATATGAGTTAAACCTAAGGTGCCGTAAGGATATGTCTGTGGCTAGAAGGCAAAAGGGGATAACTCTTATTTGGAAGTTTTTCAGTAGAGACATTTTTAGTTCATATTGTCTTTTTGTTACCTTATAGACGTAATATTAGTAATGTTTGTATATTTCTAGATCCGAGTTATTGCAAGAAATAGAGAGTTAATGGAAAATGTGATCGCTAACATCCATTAGTGGATTTGCATCTGAAGAAGAAGAAGATCCGAGTTACATTCGGTTAGATACATTTAAGTCTTTTTTCTTAAATTAATATCTATGTGTCCAATATTTTGTGATAAATAAAAAAAATATTTTAGGATATTTATTATTTTTAATTATTTCAAGAAAGCATAAGGAGATAAGTCAAGTTATAGTTGAAATGGACATAAAATAATCTTGGTAAAGGAGGTTATGTAGACTTATACCCTTATGCTCAGTAGTAACTTGGCTAACATTTTATGTGCACTGTAGTGTTAACTGCAGTTATTTCTACTTACGACTGGCAACCACAATAAAGCAAAGAAAATATTTTGTTCTGGATATAGCATTGACAGAACAAGAAATAAAACGTAAATATTTTCAAAAAGTTTATTAAACATGGAGGTTTTTATAGCAATCTGATAATACGTTTACAAATTAACAATTCATTAAGATGATACTTAGAAAGAGATTTAAAGGCGCAATCTAAACACAAAATAAAAAAATATATTCTATATAATACGAACAGAAAAGCTTTCGAAGGAAGAAAAAAAAATTTGATGAACACAAATATTTTTCGGAAGCCGTTTCTTTAAAATATTAAATTACACAAATATTTGTTACAGAATATTTTATTAAAAATCGTCATCACTGAAATAATTATCTTTGTCTGGATCTGTGTCAGCAATATTATCCAGATCTTGTGAATTTCGTGGGAATTGGGCAAGTCCACGATAAAATTCTTTTGCACTATCATCAGCTAACTCAATAAGGTCTAAAAGATCGCAGATCGGTCTAAATGATCGAAGATCAAAAGTAATGTTCTTGATATCGATGGCTGTATTTTTTTTTTGTCTTCTAAAATTTACTTCTTGAAATTGCTCATATTCCTGAAGCGATGTTTTAAAATTAATAATACCAAATTCCTTGGTGTATCTTTGCCATTTCATATTTCTCCAGCAAATTTTAGTCTTATTGTCTGTCTTCTTTCTCTTTATTAATTTTTTTGAATAACTTTAAAATAAAAAAAAAGATTTGGGGTCATTTCAACTACCGTAAACTAATTTTTTTCTGTTTGGTTTGTTTCCTCTGTTTTTTGTTTTTGGTTAGCGGTAGTAGTAGGTTTTGTTTCTGCAGATCTTACTAAGTTATACCAATCTCTAGTTACATGGATAAGAAATGGGATTTTTTTTTAATCTTTCTAATGTTGCGTGATCTACGTCACACTCCATGTACGTATGGCCAGGCACTAAAAATGTATGATCAATTACCTTTGGGTTATTATTTTGACTTAATAAAAGCGTAAACATTGCTGCCACAAATGAGTTTTTATTTTGACCGCCACAAGTATCACTGACTTAAATAAACAAGAAGCAATTCCGTTGGCACTTCGTCCCGCGATACCTTCATGACACATATAGTGAGTGGAGACCTTTGCAGAACAATCAATAATTGTTAAGTTAGACGTATTTAACCCTTTGCGGCCCACATTTTTTTTTCATTTTTTTTTCTAAAATAAAAGAAATTTCGTAAACTTAATTCTATTAACACTTTTTCTGAAAATTTCAATTTAATCGTAAAAAATATTAAAAAAAAAGTATGGTTTCACCGTGAAACCACTGGGACACAAAAGTCACTTATTCAACGGTATGGAATTTTTGGAAACAATTTTTATTTTCAGATAAACACATACCAATATCGCATGTTTGATAAAACCAACGAGTCCGATGAACCTTTTTTTGTACTGCATAATCCACATCTTCTTGATGTTTCATGAAGAGGCAAATGAGCCACTCTATCGTATCTAACTTCAATAAGTACATATTTTTTGAAACTATTTACTGCATGTGTTTGTCCCTTTTTTGGGGTATCTGTATTAGCACCAATAAGACCTGTAAAGAACGGCTAATCGGAATTCTTTCAATGATAATGCACGTCCTGGACTTCTATATTTAAATATGATAAACGCATTAGTAAATGGAGAAAAATGCGATGCCATCATTTCTTACTTTTTTTGTCTTTTACAACTGTTGGTGCAGCCACAGTTTCTTTGGAACCATTCTTCTGTCTTCTTTCGACAGGTACCATTTCAGTAGGATCATGAAAGTTGGACAAAAAATTAATCCCCTTCTTATCTTTCCACCTAGTGAAGACCATTTTATTCTAAGCCTGCCGCCAATCTGTTTCTTTTCGGTCCATCTGTTTTTCGTCTACAATATCTTGTGGCAAATTAGCACGATTAACTCTTACTGTACCACATGCGTAAATATTGTTCTCCAATAAATATTTCATAAGAGATACCGACGAAAAATAGTTGTCAAAATAAACCTTGTGTCCCTTGTCTACAAGAGTTTTTGTGAAATCTTTCACAACACGTTCAACTAAACCAGTTTCCACCTTTACGTTGTCTATTTTGCCAGTGTATATTTTGAACTTGTGAACATAACCAGTCACAGCATCAGCACGTACCCAAAGTTTGTACGCTCTTTTTATGGGGTTTTTGGGCATATACTGCTTCAAAGTGGAAAGGCCCTTGAAACGAATCATACTTTCATCGATAGACTGATGCTCTCCTGGCTTGTAGTACTGCTGAAAAGATTCCAGTAGCTTTTCTAAAATCGTATGTATTTTATAAAGTTTATCGTAATTAGGAGTTCCTCTATCAGGCTGAAGGGAATTATCATTCAAATGTATATACCCAAGTAACCAAATAATCCTGTTTCTGTTCATTATTTTCAGTTATCTCTCAAAATATCCTGTGAAGACCAGTAATTTCTGTAGCTAGGTGATGACTTGATACCCATAAGGATATTTCCTGCTAAAAATTCTAAAATTTCATGTTTAGATGTTGGCTTGAACGGTTTACATTCTTGGGTCGCATACAAATTCCTTTGAAACACTAAATGTTGCAGTATATTTTCATTCATCAAGAGCAAAAAAATTTCATGAGGATATTCTATTGTACTCCCAACAGATGGTCCATGTTCTACATTGAAAGGAATAATAGTATTTGGAATAAATTGTTTATTCCAAATAAGTCCTGGATTTTTTTTATATATTTTTCTTTTCTGTCACTTTAGATGTTTTGTTAGTATTTTTAGCAGGTTCATCTACCGTCCGTTTTCCTTTCGGATCACTCTTTTTTATTAGTTTTATTGGCATCTTGCGTGTTTTTCTCATCATCGTCACTGTCCTCTTCACCTTCGCTACTTTCAATTGTTCTCAAAATCTTTGGAGGGACAAGTGTGACACTCATAGATTTATTTCTATTTTTGATTGATGAACATTTTCCTAATTTAGTGCTTGATAATATGGTGATGTCTAAAAGAATTTATATTTTTTTGGTGGAGATGTTCCTAGAATAGTACCTCGATGAACCACTGGTAAATCCTCGTAGTCACTATCGGAACCCGAACTGACAATTGACTTCTTATCTGAGGGTATTTCTGCCAATAAATCCTCCAAATCTTGTTCGGACAACATTTCTAGTTGCTTATAACTCCGCTTGTTACGTTGCATGGTACCTGAAATAAAGAAACTGTAGTTGTCCACTGGTTTCACTGTGAAACCGTATTTTTGATGTGAGCAAAAATGATACAAAAACACATTTTTGGTTACATATTAAATTCTAAAGAGTGAGTACAGGTTTATGTCAACTTACCCGTAATTATTTTTGCTATTTTTTATCAAAAAACAGTCAAAATTGTAAGAACTCCAAACATATGATTTACGTGTTGTGATACTACCACCATCATACTAAAAAATTCTAACTACACATGCAACTAAAACATTTTGAAGTTCATCTATCGAAATTATAGATGGCACTGCTAGTATGGCCACGTAGAGGATCTAATGGCTCAGTTGAGCACATTGGTGTGATGAAATTGGTGGTTTCGTGGCGAAACCAATGAGGCGCAAAGGGTTAATTGTCATTTGTAAAACACGGTATTAGTTTGTAAGTAAGGTGCATAAAGAACCTGTTGTAAATCAAATACAAATATTTTTTGACTTTTGCTATTTATACATTTTAATATGTCTAATCTCTTTGACTCGTAAGCAGTTTCAGCTTCTGTATGATGATCTGCTAATAAATTCTCATAGTTTTTCCTTGTATTAGCTGTCTTAGTGATATTAATATGATTGTGAAAAATATCACAATTGTTAAACTGCTTGGTTTTCTGCTTGTTTTCGTGAGTAGTGAGACTCATAGGCATAAAATTTTGATATGTGGCTATAGACGAGTTCCATTCTAGATTCGGAAATTTTGTTTTTTGCATTATGTTTGCCTCTGCCATCAGCCATAGGAATACCACAGTTAGACGACATTTTCTTTTTTGTAACAGTTTCTATAAATTTATTACTTTCGTCAAAAATAACACAAAAACATACCTTGCAGCATGGGATTCTTTCTATTTGGATTTCTATAAAATATGTAAAACTCTTTTCCCTATTTTTTGAAGGGTTATTAGTATCAATTGTGTTAGTAGTAAGCTTCTTGTCAGAAATTTGAATTAATGAGGCAATATAACTTACCATTCGCATGGAAGTGGAAACTAAACCAAATTTCGTCTACTGCGCCGTGGTCAAGAGTGCTTGCACGGACTATACCATTCTATCGTAGTTGTCCATTCCCCAGTAACTTTGTAACAGAGATAATCTATATTCATCAAATATTTTTTCTTTACACTTTCTTCTACAATCTCGCAGTCACCGTGACTGCCTAGCTTCTATTGCCTTTCCTTTGTTTGTTGCATATCCTTTACCCGTATTTCGTAAAACCTGTCTATTTTTTCTTTTTCCTACTTTTCGTTTTAATATTTTGTGCATTGGTTAGCCACGTTTTTCATTGTTTTCAAAATTTGATTCAAAGCGAAGCGATGTTTGGTCAAGTGGTATTTGCAGGATCAACTGGACGGAAAAATAATGTTAACGTAACTTAACCAAAACATCGCTGAGACATTTTTGATAATGCAGTGGTATTTCCGAGGAAGTTTAAATTTGATTATTTAGAAGACTTCATGTTGATTGATTAAGACTTTATCGTGGTATATAATAAAAAAAATAGTACGTCGAAGTAGAAGAGTTACAAAATTAATAGAAACAATAAAAACAAAAATATTTACCATTGGTTACAACAGTGTAAGTTTTTTCTTCATCCAATTCAAAGGCTAAGGATCTATGAACAAAATTTACTGAACTTTCAGTCTCGTTCTGAACATTCGGATAAAAATCAGAAAATATGATAAATCACTACTATTATAATGTACTATAAAATAGAACTTATTTTTTCAATAAAACATCGATCATTAGTAAGTCAAAGTAGAAAGCTACAAAATGAGTAGGTACATACAAAACTATTTACCATTAATTAAAACAGCGTAGGATTTTTCTTTATCCAAATCAACGGCTGGGTAAATATGCACGTAATTTACTGATATTTCAGTCTCACGACCACGATTTTCTTTATTTTCATCTAGATAATTCTCTTAGAAACAAAATAACAAAATATTATTTAAAAAATTGAAATATATTGGCAATTAACTTACTTGTATTTGATGGCTTGTAATCGTTATTGTCGTTGTTTAAACACCTTGATTTTGAAGTTCTTTCGCGAATGGAGGAACAATAATTGTTATTTCGAGTTGCCATCGTAGTGAACGTTCCTTGATAAAACTTGCGTGGTCTCTCTTTACAATTTAGACAAGTACTGACAAGAAACTGATACGAATATGATTTTCGTGGACACCGCATTCTTGCAAAAAGGGATAACTTTGTATATCCTAGCAATACTTTCATATATATTTCTTTTATCACATTCCGGCAAAAGGTGATATCTTGATTTATTGCCTTTTACTAGCACACATTTCGAATATTTCTTAAGTTAACATGACTTAAATCGTTTTGCTTCTCAGTTAATTTCGTAATGTTAGAAAATATGTGCACATATACCATTTTACTAGTTTTTACTATTTTACTCTTCAGAAGATATCTTGAGTTATATCGGTAAAACAGTCGTAACGATTAAATTGTAGCCAAATTATCCCTTTTTAATCAATAATAATTTTTTAATTAGTAAACTTTCACTTAACTCTCTTTACCAAGATTGTGCAGAATCGAAAAATGCTGTCGAATGGTATACATAACATTATTTTTGCAAAAAATCGAGTTATCCCCTTTTGCCTTACAGTCACAGATGTGTTAGTTTTAGTATGGCATGAGATATTATATTTATATTTGCAACAGAACATAGAAATTATTAAAACGAATTTATTGAAAAGAAAAAGGTACTTTGAAACTGTATAAAATTATGTAATTCTTAGCTCAGCGCTTTCGGCTTAGAAAGCTGTCTTCAGAACCATAATCAAATTTTAAAAAATACCTCTACAAAGTAAGGGATGTTTGAAAAATATTTTTCATTGCTAATAATTACAAAAAGTTTTTTCTACCTTATTATACTGAGTAGAGACCTGGACACTTTCCGAAGCTTCCTTAAGAAAACTCGAGGCATTCAAGATGTGGCGTTACAGACGTATCTTAAGAATTTCATGGGTGGATCGTGTGACTAATGTTGAGGTCATACGTAGAATAGCCAAGGAATGCGAGATTATTAACACCATCAAAGAGCGCAAACTAGAATATTTTGGCCATGTTATGACGAATGAACAGACATACGGCTTGTTGCAACGCATTTTTCAGGGCAAGGTATTTGGAAAGAGAGAACCAGGGAGAAGAAGAATATCTTGGCTTCAAAACCTAAGAAAGTGTTTTAATACATCGACAACCGGACTATTCAGAATAGCAGCAAGCAAAGTTAAAATAGACATGTTGATCGCCAACATCCGGAACAGATAGGCACCGTAAGAAGAAGAAGAGGAAAACGCCCATGAGCATGAAAACGTTTTTTACAAAATCAGTTTTTAGTTTTTCTCTGAGTTGCTGTATGGCTGTGAAAGTTAAACATTGGATTTTAAAACAAAAAAAAAGAATAGATGCCTTTGACATGTTTATATACAGATGGATGCATGAAGAATTCCATAGGAACAAAAGTTACCAACGGTAAGATACTTCGGCGCATAATCAAAAGGAATTACTCAGTTTAATAAAAGAGAGGAAAATAAAATAACTGGTTTATGTGTTGAGAGTAAAAAATATGAATTACTCCAAATTATATTGGAAGGTAATTTTCAGGACAAAAGATCAGTTGGAAGATGCCAGAACTCGTAGCTGACAGACCAGGGAAATGGTTTGACTGGTTACCTACAGAAATCTTTCGTGGAGCAGTTTCCAAAGCTACAATTGCCATTTGGATTGCCAACCTTTACCAGAAGACGGTGCAATATGAAGATAAGAGATCACTATCACAAGATTTAAAAATATGATATGGTTTGATATGGTATGATAGCTTTTAAAAGTGTGATGGGGATTTAAAAATGTAAAACAGACCTATAAAAAAAGTTTTGGTATTTTTGTAGTGTATTATATACCTACTGGTAACAAAAAGTAAAACTCTAATCATTTTTACTTTAAAAAACCCCACAAATATGTCATAAGTTTTCACAAAAAAATGTATCCTTAATAAATATGAAAATATGGTTTTTGGTAGATATCAGTAATATAGGATTTTTTTTATATTATTTGTTAAAAATACTTCACATATCCATTCAACAGATCCCAACTGAGTTCTCGTTTCATTTGGCAGAAAATTGGTTTTCTGTATTGCTTTTAAGTGGCCTGCCGATTCGCTAATAAAATCCCAAAGCCATCAGACACCTCATAAAAGCTATTGCACCTGTATCGCAAAACTTGAGCCTAAACGCTGATAATTACTTTGAAATTCAGGAAATAAAACTCGTTTAGTTTCGTTCATTCATCCGGACGCGGACCTGCCCACCGGCTGGCTCTTGATTGGATCCGTCATTCTGGAGCCAGGTAGAGATTTCTCGAAAGGTATCGCCCAAAATTTCTTTTAAACACTGAATACTGTACAGTGGCTTTCATGCTAAATACGTTACACGTCATCTGATAGCTGTTCAATTTAACATTATCCTGTTTTTAACAAAGTTGCTGTCTTCTTAGCATATTAAAAAAATTACTAAAACAGTCAAAGTAACTAAAGTAATTTTAATTTTATTCAAGCAATAAAATTAGGATAAAGTAATTAGTTAGTACAGTATAGCCCAAAATAAACAGTACTGAACTTTTTATTATTTTATTGTTTTAAAAAATACATATTAGTTTTGTTCGCGGAGACACTCCCTGACTGGTTTCTGACTGTTTCGCATGCGCAGTTCTGTTTTCAGGCGTTCGCGGTGTTAAAAATCCGGGACTTTGACAAAGAGTTCGATGTTCGCGGAGAGTTTCAAACTGGTTCATGATCAGTCCATTTGGTTCATGGATTAGAGTGCGGATTTTTAGTTAGCGCAAGCGCTATAGAAACTGTAAATTGACAGGTTTTGTGTTTGTTTTTTTTTGGTCAATCGTTAATACTAACTAACCTATTATTTATTTTTGTTGAGAAGCGGCAATATAATCTTTACGTTTCGACATCTTTAAATAAATATAACTAAAATTCTCTAAATCTTTTTAGCGATATAAATTAAAAAATATAAAAAAGTCATTTAATATTTTATTGCATTATAAATATGGAACTAAAAACAGTACATATATTTATAAGTATTAAAAAATGAATGTTATTTATAGATAAGCGATCATTTTACATCCAGCGATGAGGACTTAGAGGAAATTCTGGACTTTTAGGGTCATTGATATCAATTTCATCTCCGTAGACATCGTTCCGTCTTACGACACTAGCACCGCAGAATAAACAACAATTTATTATTGCTTATTATTACAATTGTTTATTACTCTGTGCTAGTACCCTATTTTTAACTTACACATTTTGACAATATAGCAATATCGTCTTTAAAATAAATTTTTGTCAAACGCCTGTGTTCCTCCTTGTACATATAAACAAAACAGCGTGTTGATGTTTTGGGGTTAGAAACAGTCAGAAACGTCCGGAAATCGTTCGCGGAGAAATAGCTGTTAAAAACTAGTAACTAATCACGCCAGCGCACAACGTTAATCCTAAATCGGTCCGAAATTTATCCAAAACTAGTCAGGGACTGTCTCCGCGAACAAAACTATTATTGACTTAGTAACATGTTCTAAATAAGCTCCTCCTCTCTCAAGACAGACTTCATACCGATATTCCAGATTTCTCCTAATGTTATGGAATAAAAGTTGTCTTAACTCCGCGAAGAAGACTCTAACGGCATTCTTTAACTCATTGATGGTTTGTGGTGCCCATTTAAAAACGGCAGTTTTAGCCATACCCGAAATGTATGCGTCTGGAGATGTTAAGTCTGGAGAATGTGCAGGATAGGGGAAGTCAGTAAATCGTGAAATGAATTTGTTTGGAAAATGTCACTGAAGAAATTGACGAACTGCGACAGCAGTATGGCAAGTTGTCCCATCCTGCTGGAAAAATTGGTCTCGAAATGCAAAATTACGTGCACGACAAAATTGACATAGATTAGAGATAAAGTGTGTTAAAATTTGTATGTACCTATGTTGATTAAGTGTGACTTGCTTACCATTTTCTTCGATAAAGTATGGACCAATGATTCTGTGTCCCGAAACTGCACACCAGACACTTACTTTTGCGCTATGTAAAGGAACTTCTTGAACTTCATCTGGTCTGGCAAAGTCCAGAAATTGATTTGTGAGATGATTTACATGGCCTGACTAATGAAAATGTGCTTCGTCTGAAAACCATACATTTTTCAAAAATTCAGTATTTATACTGTAATGCAAGAATTCTATCACAATATTCCACTCTACTGTGATAATCCCTGGGATGTAGTTGTTGACGTACCTGAATCACATACGAAAATGCACCCAGCTCCTATAGGATTCTTTGCAAGAAAGTTCGTTTTAAGCCAGGATGCAACGCTGTTCTTGTCTGGCTGGCTTTCGAATTTTTTAATATTCACTCAAAAACACCTTCATGGTTATCTTTGTTGTTAAATATCCTGGGACGCCACAAGTTTCCCTTTCGTTGGCACAATACATTACTTGGAGAATGTTTATTAAACCGTTTTGTGAATTGATTACACACGTATTGCATACTTGCACTATTACGTCAGCCGTTTCCGTATGAGCGAAAATAATGCTCCACGAAAATTATTTGTTTAAGGATTACTTGACAG